GGTCCCAACTTGCAGTGTAACAATATCTCATCACAACGATCAATGGAAGAAAAAAAGGAAGAGAACAACGAAGAGCTCAGAGAGCAAGCAGCCTGAGGATGACGCTAAGGAGTAGTGCAATCAGAGCAAAAAGCGCAGCGATATCAAACAAGTGCATAATGTGCTGAGCAGCAATTGGTTCAATGAATGAAGCACTTCTCGAGGTTATCTTCAAATCAGTGATGACATCTCGACTGCAAATGCACAGACTTCTCCGCACGACATTCGTTTTTGCAATCCCACTTGGTATGAATCTAGAATCGAGACAAACAAGTTCACATATAGGCTGGCGTTAACATTTGCCGATAACATTTGAGCGTGGATAAATTGCCAAGTCTGCAATTGCGGCGACTGAGCCGCAAAATCGCGGCAGACGCACAAATTCAAATTCTATGTCCTCCGGCAATTTGTTAACGCGCAAATGTCGTCGGCAAATGGTTTTGCAGCGAGAAAAACAATATTTGACCAGATCTACTATACTACCATGTAAATTCCAGACAGCACCACCCACCTCGGACTTCTTTTTGTGACCAATCGATGAAGAGCGCTATCAAATCGACAGACTCGGCATCTCGATAAGCTTGACGGATAGATTTTGACAAGGCGCCTGACATCCAGAGGGTACCCACCTAGATGTGCAATTTTCATTTGAAACAGTTTGGTTGTATGCATCCAAGTCGGTACTTTTACCTACCTAACTTGTTCCTTTGACATCTCCTTCTCTTCTTGCCCGGCTCGGAAGGAATAGGGGCATCAGCTGTTGCCATTCTACTCCTACTTTGGCTTCTGGACGCAAAAGGCCTGCAGCCGAGCGGTGATTGCTCCCCTCTCCTAGGCATCTGCGGGCGTTGCAGCAGCCTTGGACGACTTCTGGATCGTCTCGTCAAAGGAGGCAACGATGCTGTCATCTGGGGCGTGGTGGGCAGAAGGCATCTTGAAAATATTATAAAATATTTGCCACTGTGTGCTTGACCGCTCCTGGATCCGATTATCCCGAACATACCTGGCTTCATAACCAGCAATTCGGACGGGTTGCCTTGCTCTGCTTCTTTCCAACAGCCGTTTGATTTCCTCTTTCGGATCAGTACTCTCATCGCAAAGCTGATCACCAGATCCTATTGCAATTGGCGTGGAAAAAGTGTTCCTTCGCAAAGCAGGATTTCTAGAAAAAAATTCTGAGTTTGTAGTGTACAAGCTGTTTTGTGAGCGCCAATATGTTGATGTGCAATACCTTTCACATGAAGCAGATAAGCTTCTAGACATCAACGTAGGAATTC